CTCTATTTCCAGAATTTTAGCTGTCCAACAGAAGTGTATGGTATATATAAATAATATCAAGTGAAATCTTAGATTTCTTGAAGTTGGTGCTGGAATCTTTAGGAACTTCAATGGAGCAAGAATGTTGTGTGTAGTGTTTAAATTTTTTAGCCACATGAAGACTTATTGTATACTTAATTTTTTAAGTACCAAGATTGGACTAAGCATTGTTTTAGTTGCACCTTTCAGTTAATCTGTCAGGTGTTAGGGGAATAATTTTCATTTAGCTTTCTTATCGTATTTAACAAGCTAGAAAGTGATGGGGTTTTACTCTCACCACTTTGCTTAAGGTTCAAGAATTTTAATAACAGAGGGGGGTTTTTTTAACAAAAACCCAGTCTTCATCAAAGCAGGAGCAGAAAGGGAACTGACTCTTACATCAGCCTAGTTACTAGGCAGTGTAGTTAGCTGATTGCCAAAAGTAACAATCACTAGCCACACAGCCAGGTAAAAAGGTTTGGAAGATATCTCAATGGAAATCAGACGCACAGAAATTTTGACAACAGAAAGCAGACAGACTACCTTCTTTGAAGAACCATCTAATAGAAGGCAAGACCATGAAGTAAAACAAGTGAAATGTATTAAATCGTCTGTCACACATATCAAATGTGGGTAACTTATTTGGGGAAAAAGACCACCAGTGCAGCATGCACTTTCACACCCAAAATGCTGGCATGGAGACGTTGAAGCACAGGTCAAAGAGTGTTTATTTCTTAGTTGTCTTAGTTATTAATAAATCCTCTCCATTAGCCTGTACCCAGCAGCAGCTAGTGCCAAGAGTTCATTGAGTGAGAGATGCGGGAAATTCGGTAGTGGGTGGTTATTAAACCAGTTCCCATAGAAATGTTTCTGCCTTAGTCTGTCACTCAAGAACAAGTTTACGTGATGTATTCGGGGAGGTATAATTCAACAAGTACTAGGCCAAGCCACTTCAAATTTTGTAGAAACTACTTAGCTGCAGAACAATGTATTTTAGCAAGCAACATCAAAACTGAGTTTATAGATGATGCTGTCTTTCCAAAGAAGGCATAACTGGCATATCGCCTTTCAGGGTGGATTCTTCTGGACTGCTCAAAGCTTTCTGACTTAGTGGAGTTTTACAAAAGCTGACATGAATCTGTCATGCAACTGCTCACTCATCACTTTAGTTAATGGTTCCTGTTATTGGTGAGTAGGATCAATAAAATTTAGCATGCTATGAGGTATATATATTCATGTTTATGCAGTTAATCAAGCATTACATTGGCCAAGAAAAGAAGCAAAATAAGTGACATGGTATCCAGACCACTGAAGTTCATCTCCTGCGAAACAGTAGGACTAGACCAAGTATATAGAGCTTAAGGTTTCTTCTGCTGCTTTGCCAAGGAAAAGATGCAGACAACAGTTGTGCTTGCTGTTATGACACTGGTATAAACTCCTACTGAAAGCCCTGTTAATCTAACCAGTGAATTAATGTTCTACATATATACCATGAATACAGTTCACACAAGTAATGGAAACTAAGACAACTAGCATTACATATCGTAACAACATTTCAGCCTGACTCTGTAATTATTTTTTTTTTTCTCATTTTAGTAAAATGTTCCACATTTTTACTGAAAAGCCTCTAGCTTATATTTGGGAAGCAGGCCAGATGAGAGCAATCTGCAAGAGGTGCAGAAAGGTGCTGAGGTCTGCAAGTCTTTCCTTCAAGTCAGCAATACTCCTTTTCCAATTAATAATTCCAAAATGCATCTCATCCATTATCATGAATTAGCCTTCTTTCTGAATTCTGGCTGAAGCTAGCAATAGTTCCCTAAATCTTCTGTTCTTTTTTTTAAAAAAATGAATCAGTAACAATAGATGATAGCAAGGTTTTCAGCTTTGGACATCTGGCAGCCATAAAGATGACTGATTAATTTCAATGAGTAAATTACTCAATACAACTATAGAACATGCTATAAGCCTCACATAAGTCTAAGAATATTAAAATTAATGCACTGAAAGAAATAAGAATAATGTTCACATTATTATCGGTCATAGGTGTCATTTACTGTTCAAATCCAGATTTCAGACTTCCGGCAGCATGTCCCCTGGGAGAACAAAACCTGGAAGCGCTGTTGTGTAGTTCTGGTAAGTGAATGTTGTCTCTACAGTGGCACAGGGACAGGATCTTTTAGAAAGAAAGCTTAACTGCATTAACACTGTTATTTCCCAAACTGACAGTGAATTAATTTATTAGAAAAGCTTATTTTAATTAGTTAGATAATTTCATGTGAAAGTCATATCAGTCTTGCACAGCAAAAGCATCTCTGTTTGAACTGAGTAAGCATGCAGAAAAGCTGGCTTTATTCACAAAATCCCCCAAGCAAAGAGGATTCTGTAGTCTATGTGATTCTGAAAACCTCAGACCAGACAGTAGGAAGCCCTAGGTATAGAAGCTAAATGAATTTTCAGTGAGCTAGATACAGTAATTGGACAACTTCCAATCTGAAAACCACAAGGAGTAAAACAGTGATACTATAAATACACTCAAGCGTTTGAAGATATAACTGATTGTTTCTCGACGCTACACTTATTTTTGTATGGGCATATTTATTATTTAGTCAGCTACAACACGCTGGCCTTGATGACTTTCTCCAAGACTGCAGAATAGAAGAGTCATTGAGAAGATGTTGCGTGTCTTCTCGCAAACTGTCTCAAAAGGATGACTCAGTACATCAAAATTTTCACAGAAATTGTGGAAATGCTTGGGGGCAAGAGCAGACAGGGACTGAAGCTGACCTCACTGGTGTGGGCAGATGGGGAACAGGGCAAATATGAGAACATGTGGAATCTTGAAAACTAGAAGAACTTGGGACTGAGAAGTGCAATAAGGCAGAAGCAGTGACAACAGTGCTGTCAAATTGACAGTGAGCACTGTGGCAGTACTTCACTGAGGGCCCTGTATTCTACATAGAGATACATAATGAAAGGACCTCAGTTATTTAAATTAAACCATTTTTAATCCAACTATGTGTGTCTAAATGTCTCAGTTTAATATGTCAAAGGAATCTGCACAGTCTATCTATTGTTAGTTGCTTTGATTTTTTTCATTGTTGTCTCTAGGATTTTTTCCACTGAAACACGAAAACAAAACTATCAGACTGTCTGCAGGTTTCACATGGTCTGCTCCCTAAAAAGCTCTCATAAACTAAATTTCAGCAATAAAAGGAAGAACTCCATTTAGGGAATTTTATGATTATCAGTAGTGAACTCTAGATTTACTGATTTATAATGGTTTTGCTTGCCCTGGCCGGATGTTTATCAGGAGAAGAAAATGGAAGAATAAGAGGTCTGTATTATATTAAGGCATTTCTTTCCTTCAGCTGTAATTCACAAGATACAAACCAGAGATAGATTCGTTTTTACCCCATATAAGGTTAAACAACTGTCCTTCTGAAGAACTACATATACTAATCAATACAATTTCATTACCCAGTAGTAGAGAGCAGAACTGGAATTTTAAAGCTGATAAGTGTAGTGAGTTGAGAAGTAACTTGGAAAGCAGCATTTCAAAGGATACTTTCAGAAATAACGTATACATTTTAGACATAAAAGCTTCCTTTTTTCTTCCTCTTTATTTAAGCTTTAAGTTGGTTCATATTAAGTACTTCCTCTTAAAGTTTATTGAAATACTGAACCAAATATATATCTTCTTTGTACAAATTCTATGCATTAAAGCTAGGCCTGAAACAAGCAATGAGTCTCCTTCCTTCTAAGACAATAACTCATGAGAGTTTTATACTCTGGACTACTCAGGTACCAGGTCAGGTACCATTTTTCACTAGTGGCTAGCTGATTCTTTTCACATGTACTGCTAATATCTTCCACTCTGTACTGTGAAGTTGAGGCTGGTTTTTTTGCCCTTAAAGTACATCATCATTGCCCTGTATCTCCCAAAATCTGAGTTTCCTTCCTTAAACACAGTTACATTAGTCAGATGGGAGCTATGAGGGCACTCCTGAAGGTGCGTTTGGGCCATGGGCTAAGCTACAGTGTGAAGCATTAAAAAGAATAGCTACACTTACTATGAAGTTGTTCTTTATTCCTAAAAACCTTCATCACCTTTGAAAATGCTGACAATGCACCTCACAGCCCTTGATTCAGCAATTTCTTCCTTTTAATGAAAGCCATTTAAATTATTTAAGTGAGTCCATTTTTCTCACACTGGCACCACTGAATATCCACAACTTAAAGACTAAGCAATGAATCTGCAGCGTACATCTTCCTTCCAACTTAACATACGGATATGAAAGCTGAGAAACAACTGAAAGCAAGTATCTCAGGAAGATACAGGGCATCAGGTGGAATTCATTTCTAGTACGACTGTTACCTCTGGAGTTAACTGTAAAAGGAAAATATAAGTACTGGTTCCAGGACACCATTGATTTGTGCATTTCACAGACACGACACATGCTGCCTTAGCTCAGCTCCAGCGCCTACCTCTGAGATTCCTGACTTCTGATGATCTGGAGTAGGATGTCTTAATGATATGTTAAAGGATCTTTCTCTATTTAAAATACTGTTTTAAGAAATAATTTCTCCAACTGGTCTCCCAAGAGTTGGTCTACATTTTAAGTCTTTCATAGTCATTAATCGCCTATTTTCAAACAACAACCTCAGCTAGTATATGTCTGAGCAGATACTGTAGCTCTTAAAACTCCTGTATTTGTTCATTTTGATGCTCTGCCCATTTCCGCAACCTGCAAAAAGCTGTTAGAGGCCAAACCATCAAAATCTTAGTTGGAGAGCTAGTGATCCCGGAAACAGGTGCACACCAGCTCTCTAGCCACCAGGAAGCAGGCTCAGCATTTATTAATGTTTGAAACGAAGTTCCCGTGTTGTTTTCAGTCTTGAAGCAGTTACCGAAAGGCAGCTGTACACCAGCACGGGGAAGGTCAGCCTTTGGTTTCCGGGACTGCAGCTGTGGTTTCTGTCACTCAGACTCTGTGTGGATGGACATGTCTCCTGTTGCTCGTGCCTTGTCCTTTCTCCGTGGGACAGGGGAGAGATAAAGCTGGAGCGGGGGGAAACGCGCAGCAGCGATGGGGTGTCTGAAGTGCGGCACAGGGGATAGCTGAGAAGGGGAGCGGCAGGAAGAGGTGCGGGCTTAGGGCGTGCCCCGGGGCGGGAGATGCCACCGGAGCAGAGATGCGCAGCGAGGGGGGCGGGGGCTTCGGCTGGGGGGGTCTTCGCAGCTGCCGCCTCCTATCCGCGGAGGGGCTGAGCTGGACCCGGCCAGCTGGCCCAGAGCCCGGAGAAGGAGGACGCAACGGCTCCTCCCCGCTCCCTCCACTCTCGCCCACTCGCATGGGGCCAGGCGTTGCGGCCAGCCGGGTTCGCAGGGAGCGCAGACGGAGCTGGGGACGATGCTGGCGGCCGCGGGGCTGTGCGCTGCCGCGCTGGGCTGGGCTGCAGGGGCACGGCTGCTCAGCGGTAAGGCGGTGCCGGGTGGCGGTCCCTCGTCGATGCTGAGGGTGCTCAGCGCTGAGCGGTCACTCGGCGACGCTGAGCGCGGGGTTCCGGCCGCGGGGCTCTCAGCCCGGTCGACACTCGTCCCCGGCCCGAAGCGAGCACACCAGCTCCGACAATTTTTCTCTCCTAACTCCCCAGCGGGAGCTAGCCCTGCTCTGGGGAGACCTCCGCATCCTCCGCGTCGGGTGGGAGCACCCCTGCGTTCTCTGGGAAGGGGACATGCCGATAGTCCAGTTTCATTTTCCTGTTCCAACGAGAAACCCTTCCGCTCTCTCTGCTGCGTTTCTGCCTCGGTTCCAGGAATTTTTAATGCTGTCCTGGCTAATACAACTACTCTTGTGAGTGGTAATTACCAGCCTGGCTGTGTCCAGCCAACACCAGCTTGTTTTACTCTTCCTCCGCATAGTCTCTGTTGATTATCAGTCTGTCCTCCTGGTTTTGTGAAAAGGAAAGTCACCCACTTAGATGCCTTTCAGAGGAACAAATATATGGTTGGTGCAGCTATCTTTTTGGGTGTAGTACTCAAACTAGGTAGTGTAGTCTGATTTTAGACCACAGAATAGCCAATCTGGGGGAAGTTTCTGCCTGACTTGATAGGTTTGTATATTCAGCAGAAAGGCTGAACACCGACATCCGTGAAATGTTATTCCAACATAAAACAAATAGTTTTATTATATCTATAAGTACATTTTTAATTCTGCCATGCTCTTTTCTGCAGTAGGACTTTTGTGGGAATGAGTTAGAGGGTTGGGGTTGGAGATGTATTTCTTTTCATGAATTTTTTACTTCTTAGTGTAATACACTCATCTCTAGTCTTGCATTACCAAGACTCACTGAAGTCAGCAGGCTTTGAGGCAGATCTCATGTAGGCAATGGGGACCCTTTAAGCATTGATCAGAGTTACTCATCCAGTTGTCCTCTGTTACCAAAACTGTATTTGGAAACCTAACTAGCAATGAAGTCTAGACAGTAATCAACTACATTAATTTTTTCCTTAGCTGAAAGCAATGGCAAGTTTGGCTGACAAGACAGAGATTTTCTGCCAGTTAATAGAGGAGGAAAGTGTTTATGTATCAGAAAAGAACCCAAGTGCAGTTTATGACACTATTTCTAGACAGTTATTGTAATTTTTTAATAACAGTGTGTCACCTGTGTTTTTCTTATGTCTTTCACAATAGCAGTGGACATATCCCTCAGAAAAGGTAAGGTTTTTTGCCTTTTTCACCAAGCCTGCACGAATTTTAAGTCACCAGGAGAAACACAGGTTATGCCTAGAGATGGGTTTTTAAATACTGCTTTTCCAGTACAGCCAGTTTTAATTTTTGTATAAAGTGTCAGCAGAATCTGTGAATCTGATTATTTAACTGTTAAAAAATTCCAGTACAAAAGGTGTTTAAATTTCTGCACTTAGAGCAGCCATGCGAGAACATACAAGAATAAAGGAAAGCCAGCATATATCCCACTGAGGCGCTATAATGACCTGTCCTCACATTCAATTGTTCTGGGTACATTACAAACGTTGCTGAATGGTTTTCTTCTGTAGAAACATGTAGGTTAGCAGATTGTGTCTGCCTTGTGTTTGCAAAGAAATATTTACTGAGTAAAACAAAACTGTTTGTTTCCACAGTCTAAATATTGGGACTCTTCCGCTGAGAAACATACAAGTGCATAATTCTAGATTATGTATCTTTTCACTTTGATCACTACTTTCCTTGCAATCAAAATAAGCTGTGCTGCTTCATGCATGAGAAAGTCCTTGGCTGACGGCAGTCTGAAAACAGACTTTGTTTACTCCCTGGGCAGTCAGTAACATTACAGTGCAGAGCAATGCTTACAATGGGGCCGTGTGACACATCTTGATACACTGCAGTGTGTACTCCATTAAACTATTACACACACCACTGAAGAGAAATTGTTGCTATCTCTGGTTGTGTAAGGGGATCTCTAATTTTAGCCATTTAAACTCCTTAATAATGATTTTTAAAAGCCTCTCTGAACTCTTGTAAAGGAACTCTTTTTAAAAGGTTACA